CAGACTGAAAGTGACTCTTTGTGGTAGTTCTGTGTCTGTTTTATTAACTATAACCCACATCACATGCAGTAAAGGATATGGCTGCCATTTATTAAAATAAATGAATGTATTTAAGACATTGTTATAGTAAAACAGAAAATTATCAGCATTTATTGAAAATGAAATAAATGTACATTAATTATTCTGTACATGTTTTTGGTCTTCTTACCTGTTATCTGAATTGAGACTGAGGGGCTGATTGCAAAGGGTGGCTGGGTCCTGCAGGAGTAATTACCGGTGTGTGCCTTTGTAGCTGGGCTGATATCCAGGACCAGGCTCACATTGGGGAGGATGGAGGTGACGTTGACAAGGCACACAGGCTCCTTGGAGACAACAACAATAACTGTGATGATACAGCACCAGTCAAGAAATCAGACTAATAAAAAATCGGATGTTCAGCTGCTGTTAAGATGCTACGATGGAAAGCTGAACACATTCCTTTTCACAAATAATAAAATTTCTAAATTATGTTTTGCAAAAACTTTGGTCTGAATTGTATCAAACTGGAGATGTGTTTATGACATTGTGGTGATTGTGGATTGGTTCTCTCAAGGTGAATTTCCATCATTCATGGTTCAGAAGTCTCATTTAAGTTTTAACTGAGCAGACGTTAAAATTGAATTGAACACCAAGAGTACATTTAAGTGAACTGACATTTCATTGAATTGTTGACTTCTTACACTTGGCCATCACTGTCTTTTACAGCACAGGCCTAATCATAGCAGTACCTTAAAGTGTTTAATGCACAAGGTGCAGCAGACTAATTGTCATCATCCTTAACAAAAAAAGAGATTTACCTGTTGTATCATCTTGCTGCAAGCCTTTGTTCAATCACACAATCCATTTTAGCACAAAATGCCATATTTTTTTATTTTATTTTTTATTTGATTTATTCTTTCAAGCATGTAAAAACAGTTTATATGACAACACACATAATTTTACACATAATCCAATATCAATTTGCTTATACCTAGTACATGCTTGAATGGAGTAGGAAGAAGTCAGACTTATCCAGTCCTACCCCATGACATCATCTTACCATCATTGGTTTGCAAGCAGTAAATGATTCACTTCTACCCACACAAGTATTATACTAAAAAAGATTATACAGTGTTAACATTCTTACATAATTACATTCTTAAGTAATTATCTTCTACACCACACAAGTAATATACTAAAAAATTATTACAAAATGTACACCACACCCACAATTGTCCATGTAATTACTCATTGAGCCTGTTCTTGCATATATCTTGATTGACACATACCTTTATATTTATGTTTAAACTCGTCAATTCTATTACTATTTTTTATGTCCACACTTAAATTATTCCATAGTTTTATTCCACTTATGGAAATACAAAATCTTTTTTTGGTTGTACGTATAGCATGAATTATTGGGTGCAATATACATTTATTATAAATATTAAAAAATGATAAAAGTTTGACAACCCTTTAAAAAAGTATTACCTCATCCCCTCTCCTCCTACACAGCTGTGCGACATCCTGGGCCCTCAAACATGTGAACTCACACCTAAGTTGGAAGCACTTGCCAACTGGAAGCATCCTAACATCTCCAGATATACTCACAATAGTTCCACTGCAACCGCCTGCACAAGATGCAGTGAAAGAAGACAGATATAAAAAAAATAAAATTGCTCACTTTAAAAAATGTAATTCGCACAACAACTCTCGAGTTTGCAGCTTCTTGAGTGGCCTCATTTTCTCAACACTGAGCCAACTCGACTGCCTTTTCAAGATAAGCGGATTGACTGATACCAGTTTACATGCTGAGGAAGGACATAAGCATGAAACACAGTTCGTGAAACATAGTGCATGAATGCATAACTGGAGTGCTGTCCTCATGATTTTGAGGATAGTAGGATCACCTGTTATGTCAAATGAGATTCTGCATATCAGCGACTGTCCAGGTATTGTATTGTCTGGCAACAACATGGTTTGATAGTATTTTGATAAAGTACAAGTACTGTTACATCTATAAATGAGAAGCTAAAGCATAAATTAAATGTGATAATGTGATTACAAAGTAAGAACTCAGAAACAGTAAATGTTACAATTCTGATAATACTATGTTTTACTACAAAATGCTATAGAGGTTCCAGTGGACCTTCTTCACAGCACATGTTTTGTACTTGTCAGAACAGGAAATGCACAGGCTTTTTACCAATATTAACAATGACTCTGATCTGTTCAAGTATCCCAGTAAATGGTGAGGGTTTGGCAGTGAGCCAGCACGAACAATACCTGGACCCTGGTATTTTATTTACACCTATGCTCTCAACCACTACAGCCTTTGTAAGGATGTTCACTTTCTAAGCAAATTCACATTCTCAGTTTTTACATTCTATTGCATTTTTAGCTCCACCAAGGAGACTATGTATCTACTGTTGATTGTAGTTTTTTTTTTTTTTAATAAAAAGGTTTTTCATGGATTTAGATGAAGGGAGAGGTTAGGGTAGGGCCCATGTAACAATTCATTACATTTTGCTGGTGATACAGATCACCTTCCCAAACCAGGAATTAATTAATGACATTATAGAAAAACTGATGCACAGTCTCTGCACTGGTCTCTCTCTGCTGTCTAGTCTACATATTTTACAAATTTTCCTAACTTGTGAATATATGAACATATTATACATGTATTAATAAATTTAGAGCACATTTGTTCAGGTGCAATATACATTTATTATAAATTCATATGCATTCTATAAATCTTGCACCTATTTGTCTGAAATGCACAGTGCATGTTTTCCAGTACACTGGTGTATAAAGGCCTTTTGCATGCATTCCGTGAATTTTCCCCAAAACATACAATTTTTTAAAACCTGCATCATAACAGATTTATTAGTGACTATTGTATTTTTTATCTTATGGATTTGCTCTCTGTATAATTTTATGCAAATATGGTAATATAAACACTAAGAACAAAATACATAGAAGCAGCTAATAAAAAGGGCAGATTTTTTTAAAGTCATCATTTTATTACAAAATCAAATACACTGTAATAAATATATAATACTGTACAGTAATACTACTAATTAGAATATTATTAACTGTACAATGACCAAAAATCTCACCCTCGGTTTGAGTCCAGTAGAGCAAACTCATCACCAAGACCAACATGTCTGATTCTTCTCTTTTCCTCTTTGTGTATCTGTTGATGGACTGTCGCTATCTGACTCGGGACGTCTCTGGTTTCAGTGAGCAGGGTATTTCACAGCCACAGTACATGTAGACAAAAGTACAGACTGACAGAAGCTGCTGACTTAAGTCCCTGACAGGATGTACATCTCTCCATGTTTGAACTGATGAGGGCTATGATAACTCTAACAAAATAGGTTTTTGCTGACAAAACCAAACATTAATGTTGTCAACCCACTTACGTGGTAGGTGATGGTAAAAGAACAACTTTTTCTCACAGGTGCTGCAGTGTTGAAAATCTGATAAGAAGCACACTAGTTAGAATAAGCATTTGTGCTGATATCAGTAAAAACATAGGAGTTTTTTGTGTTTATTCATCAAACCATAAGTAAAACACTTTATATCAGGACAAGCCCTAACAAGTTAATAATAACATATCAAACAAACAACCACAGCAGAGCCTGTCATCGTTGCAAAATGGAGACTTAATGAATTTTCATTATGAACTTTCACTTCATTTGTACATTGGTAATGTAATATTAACTGATAGCATTCATTTGTATTCTCATGAGGATTTTACGAGATTTACATTAAAGTGGCAAACAATAAATGATACTGATATTATAGGACACCAAACTGTATATATATATATCTAGTCAAAATACAGTATGTATGATGATGTAGGTCACATGGATTCTTACTTTCATAGTATTAATGCAGTCTATTGTATAAATAGTTGTTATTGCTCTGTACAACAGCACTTGTATTCCCAATTCATCTGTAAACTATAAAGCAATGTTACTTATTTTATTTGTAAGGAACCATGCAGAATTAGCATAACTGTATGAGAGCCATCAGACAATAATTGTTGATATTGGAGCCCTGTGTCCCGTCCTTCCTTCCAAACCCCAAGGTTAATATATGTCCAGAGGCAGCAGAAACCAACCAGTTTTCTTTGCCTTTTGTGTGACAAACAGCAAGTTGATTAACATTACTTTATTCAAGAATGTGCACCATGCAAGAACAAGTAAAGAGTTGAAACTTTAGTGCATTTAGATAGAAGGCCCCTCTAACAAGTCAGGGCCGCGAGTTTAGGATAATGCAGGACATACTTTGGTTGATACGACATTTTAATGGTGCAGATTTAAAGTAGGACAGTTGATACTGTGATCCCTGAGTTCTAGGGCACCGAGGGGTGTGGAGCAGTTGTCCACTTTGCCAGCTTATGAATCCAGTCTTGGTTCACATGCATATTAAGTAACCAAGGTATTGCCTCAAGCTTGCTCCAAAGCAGCATGTAATTCACTTGTTGTCAAACATGATGGAAGCTTTACGGCCCCAGAAACAAGCAAGAACAGCAGGAAAGATGTCCAGTTGGCTATCTGATGATTTCTGTGGCTCACAAACTTCATTATCTAAAGGATTTTCAAAAATTACATATGACTTTACTGCATTAATCATTTAAATAATTAATTGGAACTTAATTAATTAATCTGCGTTTGGTGTCTAATTCGAAGGTTTCTACACTATCCACTAAATGATTTTGAATTCACTTTAAATTTAATGCAGTTCTGCTGACTCAACAGACAATGCCCCACATCGACAGACTGGATATAAATACACACGGAGAAACACACAACGTATGAAACACACAAAATCATAGTTATTTCAGCAAGCGCTGGGGGATGAAAATAAATTCAACAAATCTAAATCTGTACAACCCCCTCTCACGCATACTCACACAAACACATGTAGAGACGCACACAGATTTTATGTTGCTATTCCTAAAGTAAGTTTACGTTCGTTGCGTCAGTTTACTGCGCTCTGCTTATTTTCATCTACGTAAAGAGCGTTACGGTCACTGGCGACGTTTTTCAGCTGGTTAGCCAAACATCTAAGGAAAAAGAGATGAGCAGGAAAATGAGACGAAGAAAATGAGAACTATTGATTTAAAGCTAGAAAAAAATACGACAGGAAAACGTTCCTTTTAGGTATGTAAGCTTCTTTTTGAACGTTGTATGAATGTGCTTGTTAAATCTGCTAGCTATGTTTATGAATGACTCTATGGGCATAAATTCAGCGTCAGCCAACACTGGTTAGTTATCTGGCTGGCTAACATATTAGCTTCTGACAAGCTACGACCATAGAGGCTAAAAACGCTAGCTGGGTAGCGAGTTGTTGATAGGAATCCCAGGCTATCCTTTTCACTGCTGTCCGCTAATATTGTCGGTGTATTCTCTTACATTACTTCGCTTCATTTGATACTATTTGCTACTACATTTTGCCCAGTTAGCTACTTCGAAATTGTTCAATGAAGCTAACATTGTCAAGCTACTTTGAGGCCAAACATAAACTACTGCGGCCTAAACCTAACTTCTAGCATTGCCTAGTTATATTGCTAGTTTGACATGAAATAGCATCGTAATATTTTCCAAAATAGACTACCAGCTGACGTCAGGTGGCGATTGCAAGCATATAGTTTTCACATTGACCAGCCGCTACTCCCACAGTGAAATGTGCTGCAGCCGGATTAGCTAATACTAGCTTTACTAGAACTGCTCCTTTGGCCACACATCTGATCAGCTCACGGATTTCTGTTCACAGAATCGAGAAAGTGACAGCTTGCGAAGCTCTTGAACAAGGTTGTGGTTTACATTCTCTTAAACTGGCTTTTAAGTATTCACCAGTGCCCAAAGTTATCTTCAGAAGTGAGTAAGAGGTGGTGCAGTAAAGCTAACCATTCGAGTGTGGGTGGTGAGACAAGGCCATATTGACACAGCCAGATAAGCTGTATTCCCCCTAAAATCGCACCAAGAACACGGTATTGCCTCCTGATTAGAGTTTGAAATTGGCAGGTAGATCATGAGGATATAAAGGCTTTCTTTCTCATCAGGGCTTTCAGTTCTTCACACGTTACCAAGTATAGACGACTGTAAGGAGTCACTGATACACTAATGACATAGCCTGCCCGGAAAGGGCCATGCATTTACATTTTGTATGTCACACACTGTACTATCAACAAGCTTAACAGAGGACAGAGACAGAAGGGGTTGTGGTGATTTGGTGTAACATCACTATTACATAGAGTAAAGTAAACTGTGAAAGGCCATATGTTGCTGTTGACTGAAAAGCCACTGTAGAGTTGTTTGATTTGGGTCAGTAATGCTAAGAACACTTGCTGCATGATAATAACCAGTGTGAGGCCAGGCCTGTTGCTTTTAGTTCATCTGTCAGGAAATGCACAGAGGAAGTTTTTATTTGTAAGTAGCTCTGACATATTGTTGTCAAGTGGCTGAGGGGAAGTGGTGTTTCACGAGTCAGTGCTCAGGCTTCACACAAAAGCAGGTGATGTATAGACAATAGAGATGGGCAACGGAACAGTGCCATCACCGATGGCTGATAGGCATCATGATGGTTAGCCACCATCCTGATGTCAGCAGTGCCAGTGACACCCATAATCTTGTTAGCACAGCTCAGTATGGAAATTATTCGTGTAGCAGCTTCAGCTGATCGTAGCTGTTTCTGGTTGAAATGACAACCGGCGGCGCTCATCACTGTTAACCAGTGATAACTCTGTGACTTAAATTGATGACAGGGCAAAATGAAAGTGGCTGTTGTCAGGTTTGTGACTTTGATGCAGCCCATGGACAATCAAATTAAAGAGGGATCACTCTGTATCACCACTTCTTTGTCGTTCCGACTCCAACAGAAGGAGACGTCTTCACAGGTGAAACTATCAGCTATCTCACATGTATGTACAATGGGAATGTAGCATATTCTGCGGGATGGTTTATATGCAAATGGTTATGAATATCTGTCATCTTTTACATTATATTACACAAGAACAAATCCTGCACTTTCCTTAGTGTTTTGTTTCTTTCACCCAGAGTACTGCCAGATGGGCAAAGGGGTACTTTTAGCTGACCCCGCCACAGCTGATGTCATCATCCATTGCGATGTTTTACTGTAGACATTGTCGGATGTCAGTTCCAATAGAACATTTCTAATAGACATTGATAGGAATTGATGGGACTTCTGTGAAAGTTATAAACTTTTCATAAGTCAGCTAAATTCAGACTCTTCTTTTGCTGAAGTCAAAGATGGTGTGTGAGGGTGATTGTTCCTTTGTTCCTCTCACATTGCACAGGCCTAACCCTTTCTTATAGAGTATATAGGCCATAGAACAGCATTTATCTTTTTTTTTTTTTTTTTTTTTTTGGCTACGAGTTGCTCAATCTGACAGATGTGATCTGCTACAGGTCAAGTAAATAAAGGCATACAGTCAGAGCTGTGGTTTATAGTCTCATAAACTGGCTTTTAAGTATTCACTAGTGTCTGAAGTTATCTTCAGTAATGAGTGTGTAGCAAAGCTAATCATTCAGGTGTGGGTGGTGAGACAAGGCCATGTCGACACAACCAGATAAGCTGTGTTTCCCCTAAAATTGCAGCAAGAACATTGTACTGCCTCCTGAGAAGGGTTTGAAATTGGCAGAGTGATTATGAGGATAAAGAAGGGGTGGGCAAACTTTTTGGCTCAGCGGCCACATTGACTTTTAAAATTTGACATACGGCCTGGGCCAGCACCAGATGCATACATATCAAACATAAAAATATAAAAGGCATTACAGTGTTAATACTTACATTCACTTTTAGTGGGAACAGTGTTGTTGATCACCCTTTTTTTGCCAGTGCATCGAAGTCTGGTGTTAGTTTTGTTGTGGCAATTCTCAGAATAGATCTGAGGTGTTCATCACTCAACTGGGAACTGTGGGGTGCTTTGTTGGTGTTCATCACAATAAAAGTCTGTTCACACACATAGGTAGAGCCAAACAACACCAGAATCCTCTGTGCCATCTTCTGGCTGTTTGGAAATTTGGCTGCACTTAATGAAGCATAAAACTCATCCAGTTTAAGAGAGTTGAACGTCTCCTTTAAGACAGTCTCACATTTTAGATCAATCAGTGCAACTCCTGTGGCGCCGTTTCAGGGTCTTGTGTGAAGGGACATGACACCAGATGAAGTGATTTGTCAATTTTTCCAAAATCGGACGACCGACGGCAGAATTTTCCGTGCAGGTCGTCAGGTGATTTCCTGTATTTTTTCACATGTCGAGGGGCCTCTTTCAGTGTAGCCAGTGTGGTGAAATGAGCAGATGACTTATTTGACATTTGCTTTGAGAATAAAGCTAGCTTCGTTTTGAAGGCTCTGACGTTTGTGAACATTTTGTGCAGCCTTAAAAAGTATTAAAAAGCCTTAAATTCTGATTCGAGAGGTCTTAAATATTTTTTGTGACATTACCGCAAAAAAAAAAAAAAAACTTAAGTCGGAGATCCAACGCGTTGTTTCCAAAAATCCCGCTCCACTACGCAATGTTTTGCACTGCGGTTATTTGAACGTCAGCCTTCTTCTTCTGTTTCTTTTATTGGCAGTTGCTAACAACAAACAGCTTACCTTGCAGACCGCCAATAAAATGAAGAAGAAGAAGTATTTTTCCCCGTAGCTCGCTGTTGCTAGTGTCATGACCAGAGAGAATGGGTAAATGTAAGTTTAATTATAAGTGGCTTCAGAATGATGACTTCTCATGGTGGTTGAAGCCGGTGCCTGAAAATGTCTTCAAGGCAAATTGCATCGTATGTCGCAGACGTTTTAAACTCGGCACAATGGGCATCAAAGCGGTGGAATCGCACACGCAGAGCGGGAAACACCAGGAGTATGCGAGAGCCCACGGTAAGAGTTCGATTCAAGGTTTCTGCTCTACTCATTCTGCTAGCAAAGATGTCACCGTGAATACTGAGGATCCTCAGCCTACAACGCCACCATCTGACCTGCGTGTAGTTGTTGGCTCTACGCCAACACTAAGAGCGGAGGTAATTTGGGTGCTGAGGACGGTAACAGGCCATCACTCATTCAGGTCAAATGACGGGATTGAGGAGGTTTTCAAAGCTATGTTTCCGGACTCTGGGCTTGTGCAGACATTTACATGTGGAAAGGATAAAAATTGCAGATAAATCAGAAAGCAAGGAAAGGCCCCCTGGGCTCTTTAAAGAACTTGAAGACATTGTCCTTGGCCTTAGGTGAAAACAATATTGAAGATGTCTGGTGTTTCAGTAAAATCCTAAAATAAAACATATAAATGTGAGGATGTCTACATTGTCTGGGCAGAGGATTGACCTCTTTGCAGTCAGGGATTCCACTCCTGCTGGTTTAGAGGTGAAATGAGGACTAAGGCTGGTTCACTATGAGCCAAGCAGCAGAGATGTCACATTTCTACAGTTTGTGTTCTGCCTGTTCAACGGCTGTTTCCAAAGCTGCTCCTGCACTCTCCCTGACTGATTGATTAGGTTCCACCATGATTACAGAGCACCGTGAATGCTGACTTGAGGCTCTCCATTCACCTGATTGTGTGTTTGAGTGAGAGAGAGAGAGAGCTATAGACATGGAAAAACAAAGTACAACCACGGTATCAGACTGTCAAATTCTCTTTAGGTTCCCGATGAGGGAAAAGCCAAAGTTCCCTGCTGTGCACAACAACATCTTGCTCTTGTTAGAAACGGAAGTGCCAGGCACAACGAGGTAGTGTCTTATTGGCAATTAATGCGTGGTTTACATGTGTGGTGGACCATGAGGGGGATCTGTACAGATCAGAGATCAGCTATGATCTGTTACACCAGATGATATGTTAAATGATATGTTTGTATATTTTCTAACCAGCTTCCCTTGTACAAATAGAGAACCTATTATTTTGAGCAAAGATGTTTCTGTTCTACGAGCTAATTTGTGTCAAGTTTACTGTGGCCTTAAAAGGACCCTTTTCTATTAAAGGAACACACTTCTCTGAGGAAAAACATTTAAAAAGGTTGAAATCTCTGTAACAGAGGTCGAGCTACCGACCAACTCGGTCTGTGTTATGGTTCAAGCTCCACAATCTATGGATCCCCACCCCATGCCCCTCGGGCTGTCACAGAACTGACTTGGTCAAACCTCAGGTGGT